CGCCATCCTCACGTCTAAGGAGTATTCTGGCCGTTTCCTCCAAGACAGATCTGTTTGTTCTGCTCACAGTCCCGCGTACTTTCAACATTCTTCACCAACAATATCATTCAAATGCACCAATTCTTCAGTCTTCCTTTTTCAATGTGCAACGTTCACTTTAGGACCTTCAGCTTAAAACGATATTTTGATCCCAGTTGCAACCTGGAATTGCCTAAAGAGCTTTAAAAAAATCACTTGATGTCTTACACAGGCACTATACTCTAACCCACTTATTCTAGTGTATACCAGGGCTGAGAATCTACTGTTCTAGAACTACCTTAAGGAACATTCTCTCTAAGATGACAATCTTTCCAATTATAACATCATGTTAACTAGATTCTCTTCCTACTGCCAAGACTTGGAACAAAGAACAATCATAGTATCATACCGTGGTCGGATTTTCTAGAATAAGAGTTGGCAAACTTTTTCTGTAAGGGGACAAATAGTTTAGCTTTGTGGACCAGATGGTCTGTGTTGCTCAACTCTGTAGGTGAAACACAAAAGCAGTCATAAGCAATACAAAAACAAATGCATGGCTCTGCTCTAATCAAACTGTTGTCGAGGACACTAAATTTTAATTTCATGTGATTTTTCACACAAAATAATATCGTTTTAATTTTTCTCAACCATGTCATGGTGAAAACCATTCAAAAAGCAAAGCTCATACGGCCACAAGCAGTGGAGCAGATGCTCTGTGCAGGCAGCGTTTTCCTGATCCCTAAACTAAGAGCCATGCTAGAGTGGTGGTGGGTTAAGCATTGGGCTGTTAACTGCAAGGTCAACGGTTCAAAACTGACCAGCTACCCCATAGTAAAAAAGATGAGGCTATTTGCTCCCATAAAGATTCACACTCTCAGAAAGCCCACGGAGCAGTTCTGTAGGGTCACTCTCTCCATGGCTGTGAGTAATCTAGAACCATCTCCATGGACCTGAAATCATGTAAAACAAATGACAGAATCTCAATGATCAGATTAGAACCATATTTAAAACGATTGGACTCTACTTCCTCCACTCAGTGAACTTAACTAGCCATGCATGGGTGAAACGGTTCGCAAAGCTGAGCATAAACCATAAATGAATTCTAAACAAATATTTTAGATCCTCGTCTGAGCGTCCTACCATCCTCTGATACCACCATTTGCCGTCAACATTTAAAATTGAGGATATTTCATACAAAAACCCAGATTATCATTTCCTTGGGGGGAAAAATGCTGAGCTCACATGTTAGCATAGCAGCAATCTACTAGGGCAAACAAAGCTATCCCTTTTAGATGGGAAACGCTCTTTACTCTTCCATAGCAGCCCCTTTCTTCATGTAGGTTAACTGGTTGTCCCTATGTTGTTTTGAATGTAGAATCCTCAGTCTAAAGTCTTTACAAAAAAACCTATTCTTCACAGTGTGGCTTCAGTGTCTTGGTTTTGAATACTTGACAGGAAGAACATAGAAATCTCTCTCTCAATCTGCTCTCAAAACTCCAACACCATCATATTCCACATCCTAGAACTGAAAGCATTAGCTCTCTTGCTAGTAGCCTACGAAGAGTTTAAATCAAACCTCCCTGTCAATCTGTTTTCAGTTTTAACTATTATCTGAAGAAGGTAGACACGTGATGAATTGATTCAGTTTCTTTGACCATTCAGGGTAGAATCTCAATGAGGTCGAGTCAGCACACAAACATCAAAATGCTTTAATTAAGCAGAGTGTTCAAAAACACACATAATAATTACAAAGCAAGCTTTGCTACTGATGAGCTAAAATAGAATAATCACAACATAGGACTCATCTACATAAGGGTAATTAGTCCTTAGCCATATTTTTAAAAGGGTGGAGACTTAAGAATATGCAGGGGGGGGAAACTAGTTAACTAGAGTCCATTACAAGTTCATTATTAATTGCGTGATTTCATTTCATTGCACTCACGTTATATACAGTCTCTTATTTTGAGGTAACCAACTTCCGACAACTTTAAGCCAACCAGTATGTTGGCTGCTTACTGGTGAAAGGGCAGGCTGAACCTGGGCAAGTAAAATTCCAGATACACTGTCAGTGGTTCATCAGTTTAATAGAGTAATATATGGCTTCTCAAAAAAATCTATCTATAGGTATTGGTTTAATTTGATAGCCCTATCAGTAAAAGAAATGTTCAAACAGATTTTCTACTTGAAATTAAATTGGAAAATATCCCTGAGAAAACAGAGCTGACTTAAAGTTTATACATCAGTGGCTGCATCATGAATTATTAACTGATTTTAATGATCCTGACTATATTTTATTTGAAGTGATTCTACTACTTGCAACGACTTTTGAACCCACAAAACTCTTTCATCCATTCTCCAAAGACAAGAGTACACTTTCATGGTGTTGACATTTAAAAGGGATCCATATTCTCACAGAATGTAAAGATAATACACATGCATATAATTTATACAAAGGACTCGGGTCATTTGTTAAAGAGAAAAATGAATGAGGCCCTATTATTCACGGTTTGTAAATAAATTTAAAGATAAGCTCTAGCTAACTTTTCACTTGTTAAGCCTGGAGCCAGGGCTCTGTGTTTCCTTCTTAAGTCTCCCAGATGGCCATTAAAGCAAGAAAGAGCACAAACATACTTTCTTTGAAATACATCATTTCTCATCAAGAAAGATAAAACATGTCAACAAAAGTTAAGAGAATTAATAATTCCAAGCATTTTCAAATAAAATGCATGCCTTTGTGTGTTAGTGTTTAAGTTTTCAATATAAGCCTTTACTAAATGGCACCACTTCAGACACACAAGTTAGCTGTGAAACAAAATGCTATAAACTTTTAATTAGCACTTGCTGTTTTATTCCCATAAAGTTAATACTTCCTCTTGTACTACATTCCCCCTATTAAAAAAAATTAAAAGCTGAGGAGAATAAAATTGGGATTTTTAACTCTTGAAATTAAGAATAGAAGAAAAAATTATTGCAGCTCAGTTTAAAAAATGGTTTTGTCGGCAAGAAAGTAAATACAAATCTTCCTTGAAACAAGCACAAATTTGATTTCTATATCAATATTCTGCACAGACTCTTTCATAAGCTGGTTACACATAGCACACAGTACTACTGTATTACTAAGAAAGAAAGTTATTTCAGGAAAATAGCTGCATTAAGAGAATCTGACAGCAAACCAACTTGCAAGCTCCCTCCTGAAGTTGAACAACATCTCAATGATGTTGGTTTTCAAGATTTATCTACCCTGCCTGAACTAAATGTTCTGAATTTAAATGGACTTGAAATAGCTTTTCTCGACATATATAAATAAATAAATACACACACCCAAACACCCACAATTTCCTCTAGTCCCTTGAAATACCCTTGGGATCCGAGTGAACATAGATTTGCCACACATTACAGTGACTGGAATCGTTCAGGAGATTTCTATTTTGGCATCATTCTAGTGTTGGCTGATCTTAAATCAGAGAAAGAAGTTGTTACATTAGGCAAAGTAATGGCTTCCAAAAAATAAGGGCATGCCCAGATCCACAGGCTTGCAAACACAGACGAAGTTGTAAGGAGATAAATAATACCCCTCTGGAACAATTAGGTGGAGTTTCAGAAACACTACATACTAATTAGGCTGCCTAAGTCTCTGAACATACCTGGGGAACTTTTTAAAGCATTTAATAACCTGCGTAAATCCAAAATCAGAGGTCACATACGAACCCTAACTCTGGCTGCTGGTACAGAGAGGCCTTCCTTGTTTCTCCTAAGGGCGTAGGGAATCACCACTAAAGGGTTAAAGCACGGACTAAAGTCCCCATGCAAAATGGTCAGGAAGCCCCCTCTGTGCCAGAGGCAGTGCTGGGTCAGAGCAGAAAGACCCTCATGGTCTTTGACAAACTTCAGCACTGAAGTTGGTTAAGGAGCAAAAACACACAGGGAGGACCATGGGGCACAGCAAACTGCCTCACTCTGGATACAATTCCTCCTCTTCCTGTTATGTATTCGTTCGTTTGGTATGGCACCTTTCTTCCAGCGGTTCCTTATTTCCTCCTCTGTTATCCAAGCAATCATAAACAAACTAGTTTGGAAGAAAAGGGGCGAAGAGGGAGGAGCAGAGGCAAAGGGAAAGAAAACCACATTCAAAAGGCACAGGCCGTCCACAGTAGGGCTCTGTCTTGATTGTGGCCCTCAGGGCGATGCACCGGTCAAATTGCACCCCGGGGGCTTCGGGAAGCGTGGAGGACGGGGATCCCAAAGAGCAGCCTGGCACAGGGCGGCGGCTCCCACCCGACTCCGGACTCCCCACTGCCCACTGCCAGCTGGTCTGCTAGATGCACCTTGGGCCACCTGAACGCTCGGCCCTGGAAGTTGAGGGAGACGGTGAAAGCGGACCGACCCTCGGGCGTTGAGGGAAGGCTCCCACGCTGAGCTCCCCGAAAGGCAAAACTTGCACACACCCCCAAAAGGAAAGGTGACAAGGCGTTGACCCTCACGGGGGCATCTCCGCACAGCAGTCCAACACGCCCAAGCAAGGGGGCAGCCCAGGCCACCCGAGGGGGTCCCACTGCTGTGTCCCTTCTGGATGCAGGACGGGCTCAAAAGTTTGTGCCTTTGCTTCCCTTAAGTGGCTCTGGGGTCCAGCTCTAGGATGGCCTGGAAGGTGTGTGGGCCACCTGACCGCAAGATCCGGGACCCCGGGCCGCCCCCCGTCCCCCTTTGGAGGTCCTGAGCTCGTGTTTACTAATAACAACAAAGAATCACACGCGAGTGCCCTGCTTCTGCCTGGGAGTTGCTCTCGGCTTCTTTGGGGCAGCACAGGGGGACTTTGGGGGGCGGGGAGGGGAGGAGAGGAGTGGCTGGCGGAGGGGCAGCGGGAAAAGGGGACCGAAAGGACAGACGGGGCGAGTGGGACAGAAGGCGAGGCGCAAGGGAAAGGGAGTGGAGAGGGGGCACGAGGAGAGAAAAGTGCAGCGTCCCCGGCCCAGCCCAGTCACCTTGCTGTAGCCGTAGTACCCTAAGCACTGGGCGAAGTCCAGGCCGGCGGGGTCCCCGGCCGCCGCCGGGTAGAATCTCACATCCATGCCGGAACCGGGCCGGGGCTCCGAGGCGGGGGCTGGCCGGCACCGCTGGCCGCCTCCTC